TATGATCATTATAATTATTAATCAGACATTAGAGACTAAATGAAAAACAGGTATAAAATACTATTTGACAGTAACAAAAAAGTTGTTAAAAATAAGTGATTTGTAAAATATCCAAAAAGAAAAATCTGGTTACAGTTCTGTTTCAAATGGGTGTTGAGAGATGTATCCATAGATCTCCTCATGTTGCTCTCAAAGTGCACCAGATTGATGCTTTTAACTTCAATATTTAAAAAAAAAATCTTCCCGGGGGAGCGTGCCCCTGGACCCCCCTAGAGGAGGTTAGGTCCCCCCCACTTAAATCATGTTCACATGGATACTAAATACATTTGCACACATCTTGTGTCCATATCTTTCTGTTTTGGTGGTCATGCCACACCGTGCACATGCATGCATGCATGCGCGAGTCATGGTAAGATATCTGGATTAAGAGGTTGCTTTTTCTTTGCACAGCATGAAAGAAAGGCCAAATGAATTGGCTGTGATGTTAGTTTTTTTAAGCAGAGGTTGAGTTCAATAATTTGTACGGCCCTCGGAGGATGTTGTAAAAATTGAAAGGAAAAAGGTTCCCCACCCCTGCTGTAAATAATAATAAAAACCCTTGATTTATAACTTAACATCTCTGTCTCCTATTGATCTGAGTATATTATAAAGAATAGCCAGTTAATTTAAGCATTATAGCACAGGCCTTTGTCAGATGCTATATTACGTTGTTTTTTTCCTGCTTCGAATAGTTCTCTCTTTTTTCCCCATACCTGTGTTTGCATCACTGAACATACTGATACCGGTTAGTAAAAACCATGAATTAATGCTTTGACAAGTCTGCAGACAGACGGCAGGCGAAATACCTTTTAAAATGTGTGTTGTCTAAATGGAGATCGGCTAAGCTAACATTGTACAGTATGCTCCGACCGTCCACACTCACAACAACGGCCTATACAGACATAAATAAACCAGCGACTGTATTCACCATGACACAGAAAGTCTGTGGTTTGTACTTGTTTAACTTTTGTCTAGTTTCTGAACAGATATGAGGAGCTGTGAGCTCTGAGGGCTAACAGCTAACGGCTGATGTTGTTTTTCTGGGGTGCTCATTGAAGATGACGTCACAGCTCCGCCTACACTGCGTTACTATAGTTACTGCCCCAGCTACTAAACTGTAATGGAAACGCAGCATTAAAGTGAGACGGGCCTAACAAGTCCTAACAAAACAGTACTAAGTCGAGCAAGGCCTGCGGTGGGAATGCGCCATTAGTTTACATTTTTTCCCACAATACAAGTAGAATTTAGTTTTTTTACATGTACATCATGCAATACCAATCCTTATTGTCTCTTACAGCATGTGAGTCCCTCTGACCCTAGCAGATCACACAGCGTGTCACTGTTAATAATGTCGTCTTGGTATGTGGGTGCGTGTTTGTACCCGAACAGATCCCTGGGCCATGCGCTCCTGGTTCAGCGTGCGTCTCCTCTCCCAGCGGTGGATGGAGTCCTGAACCTCTCTGCTGAGCTGCCGTGTTGCTGTCCTCTGCTGGTCAAAAGTCTTAATGTGCTCCAGAGCCCCATAGGTGGTTGTCAGATAATAGGAACCTACACACGCACGCACGCACGCGCACACACACACACACACACACACACACACACACACACACACACACACACACACACACACACACACACACACACACACACACACACACACACACACACACAATCAATAAGGTTGCAAACACAGATACGGGATCAGGGTGTTAGTATTTTCTGGGTACCTTCTCCTAGTGCTAAGGCAGGGTCCATCAGCTCCATCATGTATTCTACATCCAGCTGCAGGTTGGGCAGATTGGATCTAGCCAGGACGTACATCATTACTGGCAGGAAGTCATCAGCGCCATGGGCACGCCCTAAACACAAACACACATATAAATATTTTTGACAAAGTATTCCCCGGGGAGGAAACTCTTTGATTAAAAGTGGGGAGATGTACACAAATGTTCACTAAAAACATGTTTTGTGCCAATGTGTAGTGTTGTTGACATGACAAGAAACTGTGTTGGTAATTACGCTATAATTGGACAATGACTTTTGATGATTATTAAAGATTCTCTAGAGTGAGCTGAGACCACCCTCCCGGAACTGGATTTAACAAACAATTTTCCAATTAGGAATATCTGATCTCATGTAATTGGCCTGTGAGCTCACCTTAGCTTGCCATTGAAAGAGCATTTTTCATGTGTGTAAAGAAGGCTAATGCTAATGCTTGTTATGGGGCCAATAAAACAAAGACGCCTGACAAAGGCTTAAAAACTAGTTTTAGGTATATTGCCATAATCGTACTGCCATGAATGGAGGTTTGGTTTTGATAAAAAAAAAAAATAGAATTGGAGTTCATAGGTTAAATTGTTTTTCTGGGGTTCTGACCTGGACTGCTGACAGCCATGGAGTCATAGATGATCTTGCATGCCTTCAGCATGAGCTCGATCTTTTTCTGGGGTGAATACTCCAGATGCAGGTTGCTCAGTTTGATGCTGATCTTCTCCATAGCAGAGGCCTCAGGGACAGCAGTGGTTACTCCTAAAGCTGTGGTGGTGCTGCCTAGAATGACAGACTGAAACACACACACACACACACACACACACACACACACACACACACACACACACACACACACACACACACACACACACACACACACACACACACACACCATCAGCGTCATCTGCTACTTTTGATATGAACATGTCTCTCATAGCTGTCCGGTCCAGTCTTACCTGGTTCTGTGCCAGCTGTTTCAGGCTGCTGTCATTGATGCGCAGTTTCTCAAGACTCTGGTAAATTTGCTCCCTCAGTGGCTTCAGCACACTCTTACACAAAGCAGCCTCTGCGATGCTCTCTGCACAGGCACACACATGTACAATGCAATCAATAAAACGTACCCTTTTGCAAAATGAACAACATAACGTAAACCGTTCCTTTGAGAATGACTGTAACAAAAACTAAACACTTTGGATTCACAAAATCTGACTCGTATAAGCATTTAAAGGTGAAATGTGTAAAATGTGTCCAGAATTAGAAACTTTAACAATCAAAACATGAACTAAATTGCCAAACAGAATGTGAAAGAGGTTACAGTGTTGATGTTATGTCAAACACGTCTATGTATTGTGATATATCTACTCAAATTAGCATGCTAACGGACTATCCCTGGCCTGTCCTCTCTTGTATTACCACCTGTTCCTCAAGAGACAACAGTAAGTCTCTGTAGCACTTGGCCCTTAGTGTAGAGAATGAAGCTGTAGAGCAGCAGCAAGGGCCATCCCACAATATAGAAAATAGACACCACACTGAGAGTTGATTCCCTGTATCATGTTGGTTTTGCTCTGGCTCTGCCTCTTTGGTTCTGTATCTACAGTATCAGTAGATCTGAGTCTTTTAACTCAACGGGAGATTATGACCAACTCCTCTGCCCCAGAGTCCCCATGATATTGGACTTATTTTCCACTAGCCATTTATCTTCCAAATATTCTCACACGACAATCATATTTTTTAGACAGACATATCAGGCAGAAATGAACTTTGTCTATGTCAGTTTCGCAATTTAACTAGCTCTGAAAACATGGGCCGTTAACATTAGTCAAATTGTGTAAACATTTTAAGCCAATGTCGACTTTGTTGGAACGTTCGTAATGATTAACATGTTTATTAAATCTGTATACATACCTCGTTTTATGTAATGTTAGCCAATTCTAATGTGCTATCTATAGTTGGAGAACATCTTTGCCAAAGCAAGGATGTATAAAGAGTACGGATACATACAAGGAACAGAGACAGACTTTAAATTAAATTGAAATAGTGGCCTAACTGTGATATTACAATGTTAAGTGATTTCATTTGGCCCAAAAAGACTTATTCCCATAGACATACATTGGGAAAATCTGTCTTTTAAAGTTAATCATCTTCTCAGGAAGAACACTTAAATAGAACATATTTAAATTATTAGGACCTAAAAGTTGTAAAATACACCAATAGGCAAATCTTGAGTAATGTGAATAATCCAAGACCGGAACCCTAACCCTTACTTTAGGAATCCAATTGATAAAAAGAAAAAAAAAGTATGAAATAAAAAACAGCGTCATTTGAGTTTACCCAGTTTTTCTTCTGAATACTGGTGTTGTGGCTCCAGCATGGCTTGCAGCTCAGTGCTCTGCAGCAGGTAGCTCTTCAGCTGGGTCATCATCTGTCGGATCTCCTGTAGCAGCTCAGTCGAGGTGGAGTGGTTCGACATGGTCTCCAGGGTGAACGCACGGTGCTCTTTCACCTATATACAAAGTATGAAAGCTATACTTGATTCCATTTTTTAATCCAGATGATATGTGGCGTTGAGGTCTAAATCAAAAGCAGATAAAGATCTCCTGTGTACTCACCAGGTTGCCGAAGTAGCTCAGCGGGTCCCGGGCCAGCTCCACGATGCGCTGCGTGAGGCGCCGGTCGTGGCTGATGAGGCCGGTGAGGACCGTGGACAGGCGGTAGCGGGCTCTGTCCAACATCACAGTGGGGGTTCTCTTCACTGCTACCTTGGGGATGCGACTCTCCGCGGGGCGACTGGAAAGAATGATAAGGTACGTCTTTTAAACAAAAATAGAAACTGTAGAGCATGCCTCTTTGACCAACACATTGTTACCAATTGGCTTCGAGGTCCAGTCTTCAACTGTCTGAGACCTTCTGGGCAGGGAAGTTTCAAATTATAAGCATAGTTTAAAACGTTTTGATGATTTGAACTCTGTACAAAAATCTTGTCTGTGATAATAATCTAAAATCAGCCTTGCACATTCTGATATTAAGCATGCTTAATCGAAGCATAGCTGCCCTTGCTTGTAGTCGAAACTTTTGGTTTATAATGGGGTTCCAGTAATGCTTTTCTATACTTATACTGAAAAACTGTGCTACATTGCTATTAGACACCAGTGACTTTTATTGGTTTTATTTAGAATGAACAAGGACAGATTTAAACTACATTTACTACAAATATTATAGGTCGAGAATTGCTCTTTGTTGGTTCAACTGTTTGCTAGTTAGAAAGTTTTATACCTTTTAACTGCAGGTTTCAAACATGTGTTGAAAAGTATAAGACTTAACATAATTACTTTAATACAATTGTTAAGCTAATGTGCGATGTGAAATACTTTGTAATGCACAAATCAGAAATACATGTTTGATTAATTATTACAAATTAATTAAGAATTATGGAGGCTATATTAGTCACACTTACTGTAAGTGATGTCTGACCAAGCGGTCGAGTTGCATTGTGAGTAACGTAGTTGCCATTTTTTTGTTTGTGGGGTTACAGGTCATGTAAAAAAAGCCCTAGTCAGGATAACATATTTTACTGTGTAGTATTTCCTGACTGTGAGGAAGCTGGTCCTGGTTGCTATCAGAGTATAGGCAAGCCTTATAGGCTCTGATTTTACCATTTCACTTGTCATATCTATTATTCTAAGAATATCTCATTAACAAACTAGCTAGCGACGGTTAAAAAAAAGATAAGTAAATTTGCCCCCAATATTTATGAGAGTGCAAGTCAAGATAAACCAACTGCTGATGCTAATTGCAGGATGGAAACACACTATTAATGAATAATTCATCTTTAGCTGATTTTCTGTGAAATTGATTAACCTTTGCCCTAAAATTGGACAGAAACCTGCCTCACAGTCTGCCTTGGCATTTTTAAAGAGCCAAAATGCATTATGGGTCAGTTAGGTCAATATGCCCATTAAATAAATGTTCTCATACTGAAATTAATTCAAATCCACATACTACGCAGTTTGATGAACTACAAACCTGGTTTTACATCCTATCATATATTTGCACACAGCACTTTTCCTCTGCCACAGATCCAGAACCTACTTCTGGTTCTGCTCCTGTTCCTGGCTCAGCTCTGCTTCTTCCTCTGTGCTGCTGGTGGAGCGGGAGTCGGGGTCTGTTACTAGCACTGCCCCCCCTTGTGGCGAGTACAGCGACACGTCCGGCCTCCGTGCTGGGGATGGAGGGGGCCCTCTCATCCCTGCAGCCTGATTGGCTGATCCTCCCGCAGCAGGGCAGACAGGTGTGTTTTGGGAGGAGGGTTTCCTCCTCGGGGGAGGGACCGGGCGGGTGGGCTTCTTGGTTAACAGCGCACAGAGGGAGCTGGATTTTTGTTTATCATCCTCCATTTTCACCTCCTCTTCCTCCTTCTTCTCATTGTCCTTTTCCACCTCTTCCTCCTGATGCATGCTCTCTTCTTCACCCCCCTCACTGGGCTGACCTGATTTACTTCCCTCTCCTCCTCCCTCTCTCTCAGTTATCTTCGCAGGATTTTGTCCCTTCTCTCTCTCTGTCCCCTCTCCTACCTCTTGGTCGGTGCTTTTCCGGGAGGAGGTGCGACGTAGAGGCGCAGGAGGCAGTGGGGGAGCGGCTCGGCTCTGCGGGGGGACCGGAGGCCTGGACGGAGTGAGTAATGTTGACACTAACTTCCTCTCTTCTCTCTCCCCTGCCCCTCCCTTTCCTTCCTCTTTTCTATCAGTTACAGAAGTGTGAGGCGAGGGGGGAGAGGAGAAGGGGAGGCCCATCCCCGACCCTAAGCCCATGCTGGGGGGTCGGGGCGGGGGACGCTTGTATTTAATGTCCGGACTGGGCACCTTTTTGGACCGCCCTTTGACCTCTGTGCTCATCTTCTGAGGGGCTTCTCCATTCTGCAGTGAGGGGGTGGGGGTATGATTGGCGATGATGTCCAGTTTGGAGATAGAGGAGGTGTTCAGGTCTTTGCTGGGGGAGTCCTCCATAGGGACCGGGTTAACATACATGTAGGGTCTACTCTGGTTCTGATCCAGAACCTGCTCCTGGTTCTCTGCCTGCAGGCTCAGACCGGACGTCCAGAAATCTGCAAAACATGCAGTCAGTGTTAAAGCTGATAAGTAGTCAAGGTTGTGAGGGTTACTTAAAACATGTATACCTGTACAATATACCTAAAGTCCCCCAAAATAAAATGGGTGAAGCAGATTTATCCACTACGCGTGCAAAATCTAGAACACCCAGCCTAAAATTTCAGAGGCAACCTCGTGGACATTTTTAAACGGCAGCTGAAAACATCATTTTTTAAATTTTGGGATTTAATTAGCAACAACGCCATTTAATTGGTCTTTTCATCTTTTTTAATTCCTTTTTTCTATTATTAATTTCCTGTTTTAGAAAATGCTATTGTATTTGTGATTGTGTATTTTTATTATTATGACTATTATTATTATTATTATTATTATTATTATTATTATTATTATTATTATTATTATGACTTACCTGAACAAAATTGTAATCAGTAACCAACTTGATCTAAGTATTGGGGGAGGAGGTTGTGCTAGCCGGAGCCTCGCAGCGGTGTTAGTACGCACTACGCAGGCTAATGTCCCGCAGCTGCCGCCTCTCTGTTGGACTCCGGTACTGCACATTACTGAAGAGACGTTTCTCAACATTCGGGGCTTTTCAGAAAACATCCGGGGCTTGAGCCCAAGTAGCCACCCCCACTGCTACTCATACTACATAACTCACTATAAAGACATCGTGAATGTGTGCCCATGTGATCTATAATATAACGTTATTTTTGTACCAGTAATCAGATTACATCTCTTTTATGTAACTTTAAAGGAATACCATTTTTTGTGTCCTGATTACATAATGTAATATAATCTGTTACTCCCCCAGCCTGTACATAGTATATTAGTACATATAGTATTTATTTAGTACAAAGCAAGGCAATTTAAAATATTCAATATTATATTATATTAACAGATTTATGCTGAATTTAAGGAATTTGAATAGGCACATTTTAAATATAAGCTTATTTAAACTAAATCAACTAAATGCAAAAACAACATTTGACACTATTCATGTTTTTAAGTGTAGGAAGTCAAAACATCCATGTCCCCATTTATTACTCTAATTCTCGGATAGAAAGTGAATAGCATATTTTGAAATGTAGAATCTATATCTAGAAAGGTAACAAAATGATGAGGAAATATGATTTCCTTTGATGCAACTAGGCCAGGGGTCTGCAACCTTTTGGACCAAAAGCGCTATTTTTTCTGGAGCCGCAAAACATATTTGATAGCTTGATAGCTTATAAAGTTGTATATATTGTTACATCATAGACAAAAACTACAGTTTTTTTGCATTTGTTATTTATTACATTATAGAAAACTGTTTACCTCTAATAATAAACAAAGAACTCTTATAAGGAGAATTAAAAAAAAATACACAGGCCTACTTTAAAACAAATCAACACAGCACTTGGGGAGTCCTCTGCACATTTGAAGAAAATGAATATAATTAAAATGGGCCCACTTTGAAATAAATAAAACATATAGCTGCACCCTAAAAAGAGTTAAGTGATAGAATTATGACTGAAGATTGTCAGCTGTCTTCCTCTCCCGTGTTGTTCCTCGATACGTAAAGGCTGCAGCACCGTTGGCCACTTCTCTCCACATATCAAACATACCGGTAAGCCAGCATCGTTTGCTGTGAAAGCATATAACTCTAACCACGCAGAATTAAACCCTCTCTGTTCCTCCGATACTTTTATTTTCTTAGATTTATCCATAGTTCGCTCATCGAGCCGGGGGTCAGGTTATACACCTGTAAGAAAATGCGCTGGTGCGGGACCGTAGCAGGATGTGACGCATATTTTAGTTGACCTAATTAAAACCGTTTTTTCAACCATGCAACAACATA